CCTGCTTATACTTGTCTTTAAAAGCAAAGTTGAGAGCTTGTGTGGGAAAATATCTGATGACGTTGGCAAAGTTTCCACGCCAAAAACTTAGAAATCCTTGTTCTTTCGGAATACGAACAAAACAGTCGATCATTCCTACAAGGGAAAAAATTTTTAAAACAATTTTATTCCATAAATTTCACTAATTATACTAAACCATCCTGCATAATTCTTGTACTAAATTATTTAAATTCTCTCAGTGTTGAAAGCTACTTGTACTGCGTGTTAACAAATAATACATTTGACTGATAAAGGTAAGGACAAGTTACTCAACTTTTAAAAAATACACATGAACTTAAACATTTTAAATTCATATGTTTTAACTTCTAAAACATTATTGTTTGAGCGATATACCACACAGTGACAAAATAAAACTGTGAAGGAAGAATATATATAATTCATACTGTACAAAATTGACAAATTTGAAATCAGCACTATACACAGAACAAAAACAATTAAGTAGATTTTGGACTACTAGGTTAGCATGACAAGTTTAATCTGGATTGGTCAACTCATTCAGGAAGAGATGCATCCACAAATAGAAAAATTCCTTGATATTCAATAGATACTGCACCGATACAGCCTAATATGTATAATGCACACGTGAAGAACACCTGTATCCCAATTTTCATACTCAGCTCTGCATCACTTCACTTGCCAAAGCTGGATAACATTTTATAACCAACTTTCAAACAAGCCACTTTATAATTCAATTAAATATGTATAGATACAAACGCCAGATTAATCAGCAGGTCATCTGCTTGACAGCTCGTCAATAAATATGCAAATCAATCCAAAAACACCCTCTCATTTCATCTATTGTATACACTGGCCAAGCCCATTTCTAACGTATACTTCACATATGTATCTCACATCTAATGTAAAGATATTTCTAACAAATACCGGAAACATAGTAATACTAAAAAATATATCTTTATTTACGGACATTTCAGAATAGCTTCACAACATTCTAACTACTAAAATAAACATCAGCCATCAAGCAAGAAATTTTTAATACCATCAAATAATTAGAAAGAACACATTAGTTTGTAACAATATATTGTGAAGTAGACATGTTTAATGTAATATTGGTAAAAGAAAACATTTTAAAGAAAGGCTAAAATATAAACATAAAAAAACGGCATCAAAATATAACAATGAATATCTTAACATTATCAGACAATAATATCAATGATCACCAAACCCCGAATATCTGAAAATTATCAGACAATAGTATCAATGATCACCAAACACTGAATATCTGAAAATTATCAGACTATAATATCAATGATCACCAAACACTGAATATCTGAAAATGATTAGACTATAATATCAATGATCACCAAACATTGAATATCTGAAAATTATCAGACTATAATATCAATGATCACCAAACATTGAATATCTGAAAATTATTAACTATAGTATTAATGATCACCAAACATTGAATATCTGAAAATTATTAACTATAGTATTAATGATCACCAAACAATGAATATCTGAAAATTATCAGACAATAGTATCAATGATCACCAAACAATGAATATCTGAAAATTATCAGACAATTGTATCAATGATCATCAAAAAATGAACATCTGAAAATTATTAGACTATAATATCAATGATCACCAAACAATGAATATCTGAAAATTATCAGACAATTGTATCAATGATCACCAAACATTGAATATCTGAAAATTATTAGATTATAATATCAATGATCACCAAACATTGAATATCTGAAAATTATCAGACACTAGTATCAATGATCACCAAACATTGAATATCTGAAAATTATTAGATTATAATATCAATGATCACCCAACATTGAATATCTGAAAATTATCAGACACTAGTATCAATGATCACCAAACATTGAATATCTGAAAATTATTAGATTATAATATCAATGATCACCAAACATTGAATATCTGAAAATTATCAGACACTAGTATCAATGATCACCAAACATTGAATATCTGAAAATTATTAGATTATAATATCAATGATCACC